CTTTTTTTTTTTTTTTTTTTTTTTTAACTACACACGACATTTCTTCAAAAAATGTATTGAGGGCATACTTTTGGAAAAAAAGTAACATTTAAGCAAAACCAAACATGCTATAAGTTCAATAAAACAAAGAAGATTCATGGTATTAAAAATGAGTATACGAAGGTAAGACAAGTGCAAAAACCACGTAATATGCCATTCAATACCTTTGACTTACCTTTCCTGTCATTCACCATCAGCATCAGGTGAAACTAAGCTTTCAACATAGGTAATTGCTCCAAGGAAATCATTCACATTAGTAATCTTGGGAAACCTAAAAGAATTATCTTTCAGGTTGTAAACTACAATGGACGACCCAAGGGCCAATAGAACTTCCCCATTCGGAAGTATGCACAATGGTATTGAGTACATATATTTCCCAGGATCATCGATGTAAGGAATGGAAACAACTTTAGTCCAAGACTCTTTAACCCCATACTCCTTCAAAACCCACACATCTGCACGAGTTTTCTGATAATTGCAAAGCACGGAAATGCATTCTCCTAGAACCCCTAATACTGAGGTAAAATTTCCTTCCCCATAATTTGGTTGCTCTACCATACCATATATCTCCCTCTCTAAATCAAGAGAAACAATATCCCACGCAGAACTGAACCCCTCCCCGGGACTAGCAGACCAGTGGAGCTTCCCCTGCGCAAACATGCCCGAATCATCCAAAGGCACTCCACCCTTAAAATCCTCGATCCTCCTCCAAGAGTTAGTCTTCAAACTATAAATCTTTACCATTGTCTCACACCCACCCGCCTTTCCAAACGCACAGAAAATCCCCACAACCTTATAATCTTCGGTGGTCTCATCAAAACCAAACCCATGTACGATGTAAAAACCTCGCCCCATTGGGACGTCTACATCGGGCAATTTCTTGGATTTTTTCACAGATGGGTTCCACAAGAACAAATTTTTCTCATTTATTGCAATGCAAATAAGTCCATTGCAAGAACCAACTACCCAAACAGACCTACGCGGATGTTTCCTCGGATAGCGAATTGTAACCGCCTCAGTCAAAGGCTCATATAACAAAGACCTAATCGAACAATCCTTGAGATTAAAGCGTGGGTACGTGATAGTAAACATGATCCTATGGAAGGTAAAATTAGGGTCATTTGTTGAATTTTTTAGATGGGTTTTTATGAATTGTGGGCTGGAGATTAGGGAAAGCCATGATTTTGAAACACACCTGAATTTCAAGAGTGATTTTATGGGGAGTCTTAACAGGATTTCTAAAATGATTTCTGATGGGAGAGTGGCGAATGGACCAGAGGAGTACCTGATTTTCTTCGAGTGTTGTTGGATTGGGGGATCTGAAGGAATTTCTTCCATTTCTCTTAAGATTTGGGAACGCAAAGGTTTCCTCAGAAGGAGAAAACAAACAGCACAGGCTTGAGTGCGCACCGAGCAGAAAACATCTTTGGTTATTTATAATTATAAGGTTTTTCACAAATTGCTTATTTTAATAAATAAAGTAATTTGCTATGAAAGAAATAACATTTTTGAAAAGAAGTGTTTTTTTTTTTTTTAATGCTGTTTGAAAAAAAAAATAGCAATTTCAATATTACTTCTTTACATTTTTTTACTCGGAAATGAAAACCAATAAATTCTGTTATGATATTCTAAAATATATTTTAAATGAACTTCTGATTAATACAATATTGTATGAATTTATTAAATACTATATAACATCTAGAATGGACTTTAAAAATGTTAAATTCAAGTAAATAATTTTTTATCCAGTTCCTATTTATATTCTAGTGACATTAATTTATAAAATATAAAACATGTATTTATTATTTAAAAAAGAACAAATTAGCATAATAATTTTTAATAACACCACAATTTAATATGATTGTTCATAAAGTCATCAACAATTTTTTTTTACCGTAAACATTTGTGTCTCTAGCTTTTTTGCCGAATTTTCATCTTCGCCTTTCTAGTAATTT